ATTTTGTGAACACTAAGAGAAACTGCCTCCCGTCACATTCCTTTAAAATTATTTCGGAATTTCGATTACGACGAGGTTCAGACCGTTTTTGAATGATGATTAACACTTTAGGTTTTCACTGGCTTTATTCGATTGACCATATATAACTATTATATTCTATTTGCTGACGAAAATCTTTAAAATATGATATATATTAGAGAGATATACGTGAATTGTTAGTTTTTGGGCATTATTTTTAATGCACTTTTTGTTTGACTCATAGTTTTAGAATGATCCAAGCTTTTCAATTCATTGCCAAGAAAAAAAGTACGTCTGCAAAATAGGGCCAAGATCAATATAAAAGCTTTTCATGAAAACTTATCGCTTCAAAAAGAGTCGTGTTTGGATATTTCGACATCAACTTTGTGCGTAGTTTACCTTCCTCGAAGATAAAGTCAAGATAAAAATGGCAAAAAAACCCGTTTTTGACTTTCCTGGGTAAAAGGAATACATTTTCATCTGAAAGTGAAAGACCTTACTTTTCTGTGTATACTGGAGCAGTTTTCCGCTTGCATCTTTACTTTGTAAGATCGAAACAGGTCAGAATGGCAGAATATATACTACGATTTTTCGAAAATTTCTACCCGTTCCGTTTAAAGTTTCCTCATTCGTTCGTGCTGACCTAGAGATTTAAAGTGTTTGGATGTATGTTACATATAGCTTGACAGAAAAAAAGATGGCATTTCTCGCGTGCTCATATATATGTTTGTTGACCGTTCTTAATTTCGGGGTGTTAAACAGAATTACAGCCATCTACTTAACTTTATGGCATAAAACGTGGCAGATTTGCAAAACGGAATTTCGTTAACTGAATCCACTCTTCATTTCCTGAAAACAATACATCATCACATACTACACTAGCTTCAACTCAAAACAAAATGGTCCTTTCTCTCAAAATATATACTGAAGACATTTCTCGTTTTTTTTAAATATTCTATTATAGTACGACAAATAGAAGCAAGAAGTTTTAGTCTGCAGCAATTAATAGCATAGAAAAGTGCTTCGATATAGACAAACTGTGGATTTTGCTCAATTCTGTGCCTATTTCCCTTCATTAAACCGATTTGACATGAATTTGTTTTTTTTGTACACTGTATTGTGCGCCTTGTGTCAATTTAAGTAATAAAATGAACAAACTCAAATTTTTGTTGAACCGTTCTCCTTCAAATTCGCTCTTCACATTTCACAAGTTAGACAATCTAATGTACAGTATGGCCAGTGCTGCATGCAACATGCCTTAGTTTGTAAACGTTTGATCATTACTCGCATACCGGCATGAACGTATTTCCAAAAACTTATAAATAATAATGAACAGCATTAGGCATATTAAGTACTAAAAATAAGTATAAAAAGAACTAAGGGTTTGTTAAGAAAAATAAGATTTTCCCGATAATGTCCACGTTCCGGAGACGTAAAAAATAACTATAACTTAGAACAATAAATTTAAATATTTTGGTAAGTTGAAAACGGAATGTAACCAATTTCTTCATATAGAAAACTTTTCTATAGTCAAAATATTTTGTACAACTTACCATTGGTAGATAACTATTGATTGAATATCGTCCAATGAAGTCTGGCATCATTTTGATC